GCGGGTGGGGGCGGGGGGCTGGGAGCACTGGGCCCACAGGGCTGAGGCAGTCTGTGGGTGTCAGAGGGGCTGGGGTGTTCTGAGCAGGCAGGTGGGCACTGGGGACACGGGCGAGTCCCTGGACAGCCAGGTGGGCGTCGGGAGTAAGGAGGTTCTGCAGGCCGGGTGGGTCCTGGGGGCACTGCACCGGGGCCCTGAGGGCCCTGGGTGAAAGGCAGGAGGTCGGGGGCCAGCAGGTGGTGTCGGGCAGCGTGGGGACCCCGGTCATCCGGGCTCGCCTCGCAGAACGGGCGCGGCACCCAGTGGGACGGCCCTGGCGGCCGGGCAGCGGGGCAGGCTCACCATGTGCTGGTCGTTGAGCAGGTGCACCACGCGGGCCGTCCACTCGCCCATGGGCACCAGGTCGGGCGAGGCCTTGTAGAGCCGCAGCAGGCACAGGGCCGCACTCTGCTTCACGCTGTCCATGCTGTCCCTGGGGTGCACGAGGGGGCACTCAGCACCACCCAGACCGGCATGCCACCCCCCACGGGCAGGGCTGCCAGAGCCAGGGCAGGTCTGGCTGGCGCTGCCCCGGGTGCTCAAGGGGCGTCCTCCCCGGGGCGTACCCGAGGCCCGGGGCCACTGGCGGGCGGAGTCAGGCGACGCCCCCGGGGCTCAGCACCTACAGGTGGCTGCTGGCACCGGGCCCCGTGGGCAGAGCAGGGGACACAGCGGCCCAAGCGTCTGTCCTCACTGAGCTGACGTCTGAGCCAGGCGGTCAGCGCCCTCCAGCGCCCAGGGCAGAGACTGCAGGGCGGCCGCTGCCCCCACCGGGGCGGGCGGTGAAGGCCACGGCTGCTCCCCCGGGTTGGTGCCTGACGCGGCGGCTCAGGACCAAGCCCCTGAGAAGCCGTGTCCAGGGCGGGGCGGGAGTCAGCAGGAAGGAGCCGCGGGCCGCGCTGGGCACTGCGGGCAGGCCTGGGAGGCCCCTGCCCTCCAGCCCGGCCCTGGGACGCGCAGCGTGGCCCGGCCCGGCTGCTGGCTTCGTCTCCACACGCTGAGAAGCTCGGCGCTCAGGCCCAGACCTGACCCAGGCGGCGGCTCTGCGGCCAGGTGAGGAGGTCGGAGGGCGCGGGGGCTCGGCCGAGAAGGGTGCCCCGGAGCCCAGCGCACGCAGGGGCG